CATATTTTAAATAATTTAAAGTTTTAAGGGATACAGAGAGACCTACTTGTGGAGGGTGTGTACAACCAGAGCCTTGAAGGAACAGAAATTGAAAGGAAATACACACCAGAGTGAGACACAAAAGAAACAAAAGAACAGCCCCAAGCCTGAGAGCCCAGATTTCTTATTTGAAAGGTGACATTCAGCATTCATTTCCTGTTAACTTTCAGCCATCATTCTTCCTAAAGAAAAAGAAAAAAAAGTCAAGAAAGTGTTACAATTTAGAGGTCTTGATGGGGTTTCTTTTCTTTGCCAGGTAAAGAATTAGAAGGCAGCAAATATCTGGAGTGAGACAGGTAGAAGCAGCAAAATCTTGCACACAACAAACAGAAGCAGACAGAATGAGCAGCTGAAGACAGGCTTTTATTAGTGAGAGGAAACACACACACACACACACACACACAGAGAGAGAGAGAGAGAGAGAGAGAGAGAGAGAGAGAGAGAGAGAGAGAGAGAGAGAGAGAGAGAGAGCAGGCACATAGAGAAAAAGACCCTCTGCAAGCAGAGGGACTCAGGAAGCCACATCCCAGGCTCTCCTTGAGGGCTGACAGTTTTAAGGGTCTGTGATGGGAGGTTTTCTCCCCAAGTTCAGAGTTGGTCAGTTTGAACAAAGGCAGGAAGGCTGATAGTTCCATCCCTTTGGGGTAAGCATGTCCTGACATAGCTTGAACTTGCCCAGAGGCTGGATGCCATGGTGGTGGGTTGAAATGTCTTGTCTTAAGCTGATAGGATTTTCTCTCAGGTAAGGAGGATGAGGAAGAAGCTGGTCATCTTGGAATTTCACTATTATCTGGTCATGGCCCACACTGTCTGTCTGCTACAAGGAAATCTGTCTATCTCCTAGTCCCTCAGGACTTGCCAGGAAAGACTCAGATAAACTATTCTGAGCAGCCAGGTCTCCCACCCCTGACTTAGAACTTTTTTTATTTTAGATGGTATTGAAATTTGCAAGAGGTCCAAGTTCATATCCATTCAGCACTCATCCCTAACAGCAGTGCTGTATCCACACAGGGAAATACAGGAAGCTATAAGGCCCTGTGATAAGGTGGCCATGTCCATGTCTCAGCCATAAACAATGACAAATGGCAAAGGGAACCCTGGACATAGTTACATTCCTACTTCAGTGGGGGTTCAGGGCTCTGCTCAAGCACATAGTAGTATGTCCATGTTCACAGAGAACTTTAGTGAGCCTGTTTTACTATGGGGGCATATGCCAAGAAAATACAACTAAGAACCCAAAGGGCAGCATTGGGACAAAGGAAGGAAAGATGATGGGACAGACAGCATATCCTCCATAAACCTAGTCACTTCCCATCCCAGGTTTGGTGGTTGGCCACAACACAAACTAAAACTGAGCTGAAATCTTTGAAATCATCATTTCCCATGGGAATAAAACAACAGACACACTTGTTTTGATGAACGGCTGGATGATATAAATATTACATCACATGACCACAGAAGATGCCAATCAATAGGAATTTAATTTTTTTTCAACAACACTAAATGAACCACTGGTTCTTGCTTCTGAATGCAGTCCTTTAGGGGCTTCACTATTGCTTAAATGATTAATAGAAGAAGGATTGTCAAAAAATACTTAAAGTGAAAAACAGTAGAAACATCATTCCTGGCTTAAGACTTTTCCCAGCAAAAATGTCATATAAATGTATATAGGGTCTCAACTATGATAATCTAGGTAACAGCCAGAAAGAAGGTAGACCTCATACTTGGTAGATGAAGGGGCATGAAGATTGTTTACCCAACTCAGGGAAGGCAGCTGTACTGCTTTGTGGATATGCCACAGAAACTCTGAATTCAAAAGTCATGTTGTGAAACCCTACAGTTTCTCAGGAATAAATGAATCACCACCCAGGATAAAGAAAGCAAAGACCATGGAGCTGAGCTGCATCTGGCCCATACGTCCCTCTTACAAATGCAAGGGTGAAGACTTATCAAGTCAACAATAAAAAAAGATGAATACAAGATTTAGAGAACCGACCTAGCATTTCCCTCCATGATGTAGTGAAGGTGTAACTGTGTAGGAACACATTTACTGTCTCTGTGGTTCCTGGTTGCAGCTTTTTCTCCAAGTCTGAGGAGCTAGCAGTCACTGTGTGGATGCCTTACATGGTTTCAAAGGCAATTATGGCTAGATGTGGTTTGGGCTGTGTGCAAGCTCTAGATTCCAGTCCCTTGTGGCAACATTGTCATACATACACTAACACCAACCTTCATGGCTCCATCTCTCACATTCTGCCAGCAATACAGACCTGGGGTGGGAGGACATGCTTGGGGAACCAGCCAGGTGAATCCCTGAGAATTGCGCTAATAGAAACAAACCCTCGGCAAAAACTCTGACCAATGACTGAGACTTAGATTGAGTCTAAATGATAGCTGCTGTTTGCTAACTGGGTCTGATATCATAAGGGCAGTGGACAACATAGGACTCAAAGGTCCCTGTGGCAGCCTATAAATACACAGTTCTAAGAAGGAAGAGTATTTCCGAACATTTCCACTTCCCTATGCTAAACTTGACATTAGGTTTGCATTAGGTTTCAAGAGACAAGGACATCACCCTTACTCACTGGTAGCTGTTCTCTTAATGTGGGTAAGTCTATGGCAGTGAGAGGAATATGTTTTGTGGGATGTATATCATGGGGTGAGACAGTAAATTCAAGCATGGATTTGCTGCCAAAACAATCACAGACCCTGAGTTGACTCAGAGTCATTTAAGGACCACTGACAGTCACCCCTGCTTTCATGATCTTTCTGTCAAAACGGAACTCCACATTAGGTTTTCCATTCTCACTGCTTGTATGGTGAATCTTAGTATTCTTGGTCAGTCTGGCCATGTGCAAAATCAACATTGAAGTATTTGTTCTTCTCTTCTGTTTATACCCTCTAAGCCCTATATCTGACACCAAACAGAAAATGGTGGGAAAATTCCTTCCACATGCTCTTTCTCTACCCCCCACACTCTAAAGAAGAAAACAACTTATCTATGCTTATGTTCACATACTATTTTTGATCAGGTGAATGAGTAATGGAATGAATAAATGGACAGGTGTGAATGTGCAAGTACTCACACACAGGTAGACAATATGCACACATATTCATACCCACTGCTTGTGTGGTGAACACAGAACAAAATAAGTGCCATGGGTTTTATGTTATATGTGAAACTGGAATTAAACAACACAAGATCAATTACAATCTCAAATAGTGGTAAAGATACCATTAAGGAAAGGTAAGTGGACCAAAGGGAAAAGGGAGATGATGCATGGTACAAAGGAAGTTGTGAGTGTGTTTGATACTATCAAAGAAATATATATATATATATATATATATATATATATATATATATATATGTGTATGTGTGTGGGTATGCGTGTGTGTGTATGTATACACACACATATGTTTGTGTATTATATATTATATATATAAAATATATTCATATATATGGAAATATGACAATGAATCTAATTAATGTAACAATTAATATGCACTGAGAAGTATAATAAAAAAATGCAATTCTAAAAAATGTTGGTAAAAATGTTGGTATATATATATATATATATATGTGTATGTGTGTGTGTGTGTGTATGTATATACACACATATGTTTGTGTATTATATATTATATATATAATATATTCATATATGTGGAAATATGACAATGAATCTAATTAATGTGACAATTAATATGCACTGAGAAGTATAATAAAAAAATGCAATTCTAAAAAATGTTGGTATAAGAAGGTACTGTGTTTAAAGTAACCCCTTCTGGATTTTGGACTGACAGTTGGAGAACCTGAATGGGTGACAGTTATGTGACTTCATCTGTTAGGGATCCCCTGGCAGTGGCACCAGGACCTATCCCAGAGGCATGGACTGGATTTTTGGAGCCTATTTCTTATGGTGGGATACCTTGCTCAGTCTTGAGACAGGGGAGAGGGGCTTGATCCTGCCTCAACTTGGTATGTCAAACTTTGTTGACCCCCCAAGGAGCCATCCACTTTGAGAAGTGGATGGGGGTGGGGAGGGGGGAAGTAGAAGGCTGGAGAAGGGGAGGGAGGGGGAACTGAGGTTGGTATGTAAAACAAAAAATAAATTTTTAAAAATAAATAAATAAATATAGTGACTATTCACATACCTTGCATCAGACAATTTCATGATTCAAAATTAAAAAAAAAAAAGTACCCCAGAAATCACCTAACTTCTAAGCAATTAAACAACTCAAAGTGAAGAATTAGCAAAATGTTCTGGCTGGATAGCAACTGTATTTCTTCTATCAGAAGTCAAATCCATAATACCACTCCACAGTAGAAAGTTTTTCCTAATGGAAAAAGACAGCCATGAATATTTTTTTCAAGCAGGGTTCTCATTTGTTCTGAGTCAATATAAAAACAGCCTCATTGCTCTACAAAATTAATCATGAAACGTTGGAATGAACTAAAGTCACAAAACTCTTCTTTGTATAAATACAGCTCAATCCCTGCTTGATCTTATTTATGTCTCTGTGTTGGGCTTTTTTCCCTTTACAGATTTATAATAACTTTTGGTGTTTCTTATAGTTTTGCCCTGATAAACAATGATTATTCCTACCATATTTCTTTGTAGGTCACCAGATTTTTAAATGAAGCCTAGTAGGACAAGTCCTTCTCAAAACATTGTACTCTTTGCCCAACCTTTCTAGAGCTGTATCCCAAGAGCTTGTAAAACCTAAAATCTGTATGAGCTAGCTCATGATGAAAAACATTTCTCAGCCCTTGATCTCAACCAGCCCATACCTTTCTTGGCTCTTGGGAATCCAACAAAGAAAGAAAATGACTGTTTCTAAAAGACAACAGTGTAACACAATCAAGGGAAGGAAGCCTGTGGGTATCTACCAACATTTATGCTGTAGCCCATAGCATTTCACGACAGGAGTCCCCCTTTCCTTTCTGCCATCATGTGAACACTCACCTGTATCTCTTATAGTCATCCTCATCCTTCTCCAAGCTGACCAGCTCATTGGGACATGCTACGTTTCCCAGCAGGCTTAGGTACTCCAGGGCAGGTGTCACTTTTGCCAGGTGATCAAGGAGATTCTCCAAATCAGTAATGTGGCAAAAGTTAAAGATTATGTTCTGAGAAAACAAAAGGCTTAGCAAGAAGAAGGAGCCATAAGTGACAGGCCAGCCTATGGGAGTCAGTTCCACATCACCATGATAGAACACCTGACAGAACAACTTAAAGACAGAAAGGAGTTATTTTAGCTCACAGTGTCTGAGGTTCTACCACCTTCTAGAAGCATTACTTTGTGGATCACAACTTTGGGGACATGCTTGAACGTTTACAATATAAAACACCCATCTAAATCATAGCACACATATGGCTCAACTCCTAAAAACAAAAATCAATTTTCAGTCAATCATGCTAAAAGATTTGCCATTCGATACTCTCTATAGAAAACATCTCAATTGTCATTATGCTAAGAAGCTGTAAGGGAATTTGTAAGAAATAAGGTTTTGAAATGGGTATACCTAATATAAAAAGATTTCTGTCCTTTCCAGTTACTTTAGCATTTTTGGTACTTGTCAACTTAATTTTTAAAATTTTGCTTTGATATATTTTTATTTGGATTGAATATTCTTGTTTTCATTCTCATATTCGTTCTCCTTATTCTCTTACTTTTACATCATTAGGGATGCAACTCAGGGCCTTGTCATGCCAGACAGGTGCTCTGACCCAGAGCCACACCTCTGGTCCATTAACAGCCTTTTCATGCATAATTTTATGCCCTTAGTTACATAACTTTTGTCATCTTGAGAGGGCTCCTTTTAGCTATCCAAGCATCACACTCCAAAAAAACTGGGTCTTCCCTTGACCAGAAGACCTGGAAAGGTAGACTCCTTTGAATATCCTGGTCATGGACACTTTGGGCAAAGCATCTTCATGCTCCAGGATGCTTCAGCTATCCATGCCAATGAACCCAGTGCATCTCCAGGAGGCCTTCTCATATGGGTTATTTGGTGTGATGGAAACTCCTGCATTCTAAACTTTCCCAGAGACAAATGACAAACCAGGATAAGCTAGGTAGGCAGCCACAATCCACAACTCCTCAGCTCTTCATCTCTGTCCATTCCACCACCAGAGGGCAGAATAGGTGAGAGAGTTTTAATTGGCTCTTCATCTCCTGGGTCAACCAGAACAAACACAGCTCTGTCCTGCCCAATTGTGAGCTGAGATGGAACCTGTTAAGTTTCTTGGAAAATTAAACCAAGACAATGAGTGAAAGAAACTCTGGTGTCTCCAACTAACCAAGACCATGGCAGTGGAGATGAACTGGGAGATGCTTGGGAGGGCACCTTCTCTTCAAGCTCCCTGGCACTGTGTCAACTCTCCCCAGCTGGCCTCTCGGAACATAACTTGGTTTCCCTCGCCAAGCCTTCTCCAGAGGTCTGAGCATTCAGGATTTTTTTTTCTGGTGTCTACAGAAAGTTGCCATTGTGGATCCTAGCTGTCATGGTGAGGCTTGCCAAGAATGATTCTATCTGGAGAGTTCAAGACCAAAGTGGTGTCTTTCTTACAAGTTTGGTAAAGATGGAAAGGGAGGAGGTCAAGGTCCCACTGCACACAAGCCAGGGTAGTTTCCCAGTTGAGAGTAGAACATTCCCATCTTTGGGGTCATCTCCAGATCAAGGAAAAGATTTTATAACCACTGGGGAAATTTAAACATAGTGAATCCTAATGTCAGACTTTTGAAGGCTAAGTACATACTTGCACACCTGTATACATACATGTATCTGAAATATTATCATGTCAAAAAAAAAACCTTAAGAAAAACCAGATTAAGAGTCACACAGCCAGTAAATGACAGAGACTTCATTCAAGTCTCAGTATTCCTAGAAAGAAAAATGACTCAATTTCTAGCACAAAGGGGGAAATTAAAAGACTGAGGAATGAAGAGTTTAATATGTTTGGAGGGGAGGAAGATCATACATCGTCATCCAGCTGTGCTATCTGTCTCGGATATTTCAGTTTAGGCTTATGTTTTCAAAGCACTGTGGTTTTTTCTTAATGTACCAAGAAATTTTAGTTAAATGTACCAGGAAGCAACAAAAGTCTGTGGGTGTTAACAGAGTGACTTCCCATAGATCACCCTGCTTATGCTACTCAAAAATACTCTAAAGGATGTTTTATATAAGACTCCAAGGGCCCTGAGAAAGAAAACATACTTATTCAAGATGATGAGAAACTGCTGTTAAAAGTGAGATCCAGGGACCAGAGAAATGGCTTGTTACTCTTGTAAGAGATGGGAGTACAGTTGCCAGCACACACTTCTGGCAGCTCACAACCACTCATAATTCCCCTCCAGGTGACCTGAGGCTCTTTGCTGCCCTGCATTGACACTTGCACTTGCATGTGCACACATATAGACACACATTCGTACATAAAATTTTCTGAACAAGAGGTCCAGCTTTGGGATGCAATATAATGGTCTCCTTGCCATAGCCCAGCCTTGTCCTTTCTTCCCATTTGCACTACAATTTAAACAGGTCACGCCTTTAGCACATATGCTAACACAAACAGTGAGAAAGAAAATGAATAATAATTTCCAATAAAGCCAGCTTCTTCTTAAAAGGAAAGGTAGAAGGGGGTAATTTAATTGTACAAAGGTTAATCATCTATACAGTCCAAAATTTTCATCCAGTCCCCTTCTTGGGGTTGAGTATTAGGAGATCACATGACTGAGATCAACACAGAAGACCTCTTTGCTACTGGTGGACAATCCAGATAGTGTGTGCTCAATTGGTGGGAGAGAGAGATCGAGAAGACTGGCAGGGGTGAGGGTGCATGTTCTAGCCATGGCCTTTGGTTAATTAGCTAGCCACACTAAGTGAATCAAGGGAAAGGTGTGATAGGAATACATATCAAAAGAACAAGGGAGGAAGAGATGAGTTGAGACAGCCAGGCTCTTAAATACCCCAGGGCAGGACTCTGAAGCTGAGGACTGAACCCTAATTGAACAAGAGGTGATAGGAAGAAACCAGTGTGGGGAGAGGGGCTAGAAGGGTGAACAGAGATGGGGATGGGTGCATTCATTGGTGAATTGACAAGACATTTTCCAGATGCTACAGAGTCTGGACCCTGGAATCTTTTCTGTGAACAGAATTCCTGAAGCCCCAGCTGGGAGCAGGGCCTTGCTCCTGCTGGCAGCTGACTCCTCCCTCTTCTTGCAAAATAGTTGCTTCTCTTTGGGTTTCAGAATTTGGGGGTTGGGGATGGGGGTCTCAGAGTCAGCATAAGTGGGGTCTAAAAGAAGCCATTCCTGTGGCATTCTATGTGTCTCCCAAACACTTGCAATCTCTGAGTTTTCTAAAACAACAACAAAACAAATAAACAAAACCAATGCCAACAAAGGAGATTTATTTGCCAGTGATTATCAACTCATAGAATGAGATTAGAATTATAATAAAGTATAAAAGTCTAAGAAATACATTCTGCCCTTGTAGATGATGGCTTTAGTCAGATGAGAGTCTAGGATGATGTTATGGTAGCTTTTGTCAACTTGACACAAACCTAGCCACACCAGCCACAATGGCATCTCTGTGCAGAAACTGACTCCATCAACTGCTAATTGATGTAGGGAGTGATACCATCCCTGGGCAGGTAGGCCTGGGCTGTATAACAAGAGGAGTTGAGAGAGCCAGTAGGCTGCTTTATTACGAAAATGAAATAAGATCTCATGGAAAATAGATGCCAAGGCTGGTATGGTAGATAGCTATAGAAACGAGCTGTTCTTCACATGCATGCCTGTGTCGTCTCCCACATATGCTCTGCATTTCATATGCAGCTTGCTTTCACAATACAAGTAGGACTTGACAAGCACTTGAACACCAGGGCCTGAGCACTAGAATAACCCTTTCAAGTCTTATAGTGCATATGGTCCATTAGAGGCAGGCAGTTGAGCCAACAGCCAGCACTAATTGTACATGTAAGAGTGAGGCTATTTTAGCTTATCTAGCACTGGTTTAAAAAAAATCATGGCTGCCTGAGTGACACAAAATAAGACCATCAGAAGAACCACCCAGCTGAGCCCTGATTCACATAGAATTGGAGTGCAGAGAAGATTTGTTGTTCATTTGTTGATCATTATGCTACATGAGCTAGCTGGCAAAGCCTATGTCTGGGGCATCTCATGGGACATCACCAGCAGTACCCTTGTGTAGACTGAGGCATTTGCACAAGCAGGGAGTTTGAATCTGAAGAGGCAGGTCAAAGTATTAGGCTAAGAGGAGAGCATACCATGTTGTGTGCTTTTTGCCGACCTTGAAGACTGCAACCTCCAGGACAAAAGGATGGGGAAGCTGATTTTTGCCATAGTGCTAGTAGATGGGGTGGAAAAGAAGAAAGAAATCACATAGGAACATTAGCAGGATGCAGCAACCTGAGCCGGATGACTATATATGGAGCATAACATAAAAGCAGTTATGTAACTGGATTTTCAGCAACACAGTGTCTTCCCAGGTTATTCCCCTTACTGTCTTAGCATTACCACTAAAGCTCAAGGTAGTTAAGGCATGGGATAGGCAAATGACTTAACAAAAGACAGTACTCTAGATCCCAAGAGGCCTACCATTCTCAGCAGTGTTGAGAATAAAACCATCATCTGATCCAACTTATGTCTTTAAAAATGAGGAACAGGCTCTCAGAAGATGAGTTATACCAGGTCACACAGCTAAAAATGACCAAGAGGACATATGAAACTAAGTCTGTGAACTGTAGTATCCTATGGTGACATGGGCTGAGGCCCAAGGGAGGGACGGTATCATCTAGAGTTCAGTCTAATGATCCTTCTCTCCTGGATCTAGTTGTGCATGTAGTCCAGCTCATCACCCAGGCTGCCAAGGGAGATGTAGAATACACAGATCACTGCAATTGGAAGCTCAGTTGACCAATGCATGCATGAGGAAAACCCTACTAAATTTCATTATGACACAAACTGTGAACTTCCTTCCTCTACTTCCCCTGAAGTGTCCACTGATAATGGCCACTGGAGCACATTTGAGAAACACTAAATGTTTATGCCCCACTCTCAAAATTCAAGTGTTCTGACTCCAAATCCTTTGAGAAATCCTTAAGTCCTAAAGCTAGAGCCCACAATAGGGTGACTTAATCCATTGATAAGAACAAACAAGAATTTTTTCTCTCCAACTCCCTCTCCCCCAACTCTGCTCCCAATGTAAGAACAGGCAGAGGACTCATCATCAAAACCCCTCTCCTGCTGGATCCTGCTCTCAGATGCTCTGCCTCCAGACTATGAGTAACAAATACTTGTTTATGGCTTCCCAGTCAACAGTATTCTGTCATGGCACCAAGAGCTGTCTGAGGCAATATTTTATAGAATAAAGAAAGTATAAACTTACAGCTTGAAGCACCAATGGGGGCTAATAAATAATTTTGCAAAGCATCCTAAATGCTGACATAAGCATGGATGCTGAACTTAACATATGAATCTGTTTTTACTTTATAACCAGGAGGGATAATGATTTGTTTCTGCTTCTAACTTGTGTGAGTGGGAACAAGTGATTTTCATCAATATGCCAGGAAATCAGGTTCCAAGTTCAAAGTTCTGCAGTAGATTCAAACCGGCAACCAACCAACCAAACGAACAAACAAACCCTCTGGATGCAACTGTGTTTGAGCTTGAAACCAAGTCTCCATCTTGTTCGTTGTTTGACTCAGAGCTTATATATAACCTCAGTTTCTAAGACGAGATAAATGGAGAACCCTCCAAATAGGACATGGTAAGAATGCAAAGTAGGGTGTTTTGAGTCCCCAGCACAGTGCATGGCTTCCATGGGTGTTCAGTGAGAAACTCATGAAAATAAGTATGTTCTTTATCCCACAAACATCTGTGGAATGTGAATTCTGCCAGGCAGAATTGTGCACAGGAAGGATCTGAAATGCCTGATGGAGCTGATATCCTAGTACCTGGTAATCCAGAGCACTAGCATTGGAGGGGCCATGTACCCTATGCTGTTAGAGAATCAAGGGCTGTTAGTTCCTAATTTTCAGGCCAGGATGGGCATATTCACCTACTCAAAGGAGGCCCAACTTACCATGACTCTCATGGGCCGGTCATCATCCCCAAGGCTGTATCCACGGGGAGTGAAAAGCCTGACCTTCACACCTCTCTTTCCACCTCAGCTCTTTCTCCCTTCTTAATCTCTAGAACTACTCCCCAAACCTGCATCCAAACCTTTCCTGAATCCTACAAGAACTAAGTCAACTTAGAGGCATTACCCACGGCCTGCCACCAGAGGTCGCCCTCCCACACAAGCCCAGGCAAACAGAAGCAGCTTTTCCTCCCAGGCGCCTGTGACATTATTTTCTTTCTCTATTTTTGTCTATTAAAAAGATTTCCTTGCAGCCATAACTTAGATCTCTACACTAAAATGGAGCAACAGGAAGATATAACGGTGCATTTCATTTATGAATGACCTATAATAAATTATTCTGAAGTGTCTTGAGTGCCAGAAGACAGAACGCTTTGTCTGCCCACCGACTGTATTTCACATACTTTAATTTAGCTGACACATAAAACTCATTTGACATTTTGCAGGTATTTTTTGCGGAGAAGGGTATGGGGTTGGAAGAATGGGACCCCCGTGGAGTTGGGCGGCAAGTGGGGTGCTGCAAGGACCTGGCATACTGGGTACCAAAAAGGATATTTCGTTCTTGTTGAGGGTTAAGGTGTGCAAGTGGGGTAACCGTGGCAACACGAGGTCATCACCGAGTAGATTGTTGTCTAAGATGAGTTCCTCCAGGCTCCTGAATGCGCTCAGTCCTTCCAGTGACCTGCAATGACAAAGGCAAGGGGGAAAACGATCCTGCAGTAAATCAGAGAGGCCATTATGAGCCGAAATAAATATTTTAACCTTCCCTTTCAGAACTGGGAATAGTTTGGGCTTGGTGCCTGTCAGCAGAGTGAATGACAAGAATTAGTAGCAGGGAGCCAGGGTGGGGGCGGAGGGGGAGAAGGGAGCCCCCGCTGGCACTCACGGCATCCTTCACGAATTGCCAACATGAAGGATGAGGGTCACTTATTGAGAAGCCGGGATCCAAAACAAAGGGCTTCAGATACGGCCTGCAGGATAAATTTGTCAATGTCTTGTGCCTTCAGGCACCCAGCCTGGGCTGACCCTAACCTCCATTCCCAAGATAAATAACTCTGTCACAGTTCACCTTCATTCCCTGGACACAAATTTAAGCTGTCATCCATCATTCCTGCCTAGAAATCTCATACCCCTCTTACAATAATAAATATAACTTCAAGTATCATTTCTTAGTGGTTCTCTTCTGTACAGTCATAAAGGAAATGGCCAGGAAGGGTTTTTCTCTCCACTCACTTCCTCACACCCATGAGCTTTTTTTTCTTCTCCCTCTATTTTCTTTTTTTCTTTACTAATCACTTAATTTGCTCCTGCCTAGCATCCCCATGGCTGCCCGACAGGGAGGAATTACATAATCACTCCAGGCCAAAAGAAAGCTTTTTCTTCTTTCATTATTTCTCTTTACTCAGTTTTGTGTGGGGACAGGGGGCTGGGAGAATTTCTGCTTCAAAGCCCCTGGTCTCAAGTTCTAATTTATGGAATGTAGACTTTTTTTTCTTTAAGCATAGAGTAAAGCAATGTAGATTTTGAGGCAACAAAAAAGGATTAAGTATCAGGTTCAAAGAAAAAAAAATACTCCTACAGAAAGGAAAAGACGGTCCTGTTTATCCATGTAGTCTGAAATTAGCACTTCACCTAAGGGACTCTTGTGAGTGTTTGGGGTGGAGGGGAGCATGAGGCAGTTGTGCACAAATGCTTGCCCAGGCACACACAAATGTTAATTAAAGTGAGCCAGCCGAAGGTCCCAGGGCTTGCACATACTCCCAGCTTGTTCACCTGCCAGGCCCACCAGACATGCTGAGTTTGCACAGGCTGGAGCTGGCTGAGCCACGGAGTCCATGAGGGGAAGACACACATTCAATCCCTGGCTAGTCCAGAAAGACAGCAGATCAGGATGGTGCCAGCGTGCCATCCATCCCTTTACTGACTGAACCAATGCTAAGACCCTGTCTTGTTTGTGTCCTGGGTGCACTGCAGGCAGGGACATTTAGCCTCGGAGTTTCCCTGGCGGGCTTAGAGGGCCAACAAAACAAGGGGTGGGGGTAGGGTTCCTACCCTTGAGATGTGTAAAAGCATGCTCATTAAATATTTGGGTTCCACTGGGCCCAGAGCTTTCTCCCATCGGCACGTCCTGTGTCTAAGGGACCTTCATGGGGTCCCACTCTAGCTTCAGCACCTGCTGTCTGGGCCAACACAAAACACAGGCCCCTGAAACTGGTGTGCACTTTTATTTTGGAGTCATCCTATTTCATAGGCTTCTGGGAGACAGAGGGGGTGGGAGGAAGAAAGAAAAAGAAAAAAAACCCTTCCTTGGTGGGGGGTTAGGAGTAGGCTGTGGGGCTTGGTCCAGGCTCCTCCAACTCCTTGCAGCCTGAACTGGGGCATACTGAAAGCCTGGCTCTGTATGTCTCCTGGCTCAGAGGATTTCAGGAAGACTAGGGGACATTTGTGCACAAATGCCTCAAGCTCCCCTCCACCGCAAACAGTGACTATATTCCTTTTCAGGGCTGCCTCCTCTGGCCATCTGCGGTTTATCCCAGAAACTGTGACCTGAGTTGTGGAGGTAGAGGCTGAGAGAGTGGAGGAATCATAGCGGATGTGAAGGGAATCTTCAGGCTCTCTAAAGTTCTTGCCTTTTTGTTTGTTTGCATTTGACTCTCATACATTCTGGGCTGGCCTCAAACTCATTATGCAGCCAAGGATGACCTTGAACTTCTGATCCCCTTGCTTTGATCACCCCAGCATTAGGGTTATGGACATGTTTTACCAGGCCTAGTTGCTGGGCTTATGAGGATCAGATGCTGATTTTAAAATCCAATTCTCTACCAAAACAGGTTATCAGTCCCTTTCTCCATGCCCATCAACCACAAGTGCTAAGGGCCAGGTCCCTGTTTGCCACCAGGGGAGTGGAGCTGCCCCCTCCCCACGCCCAGGAAGCCTTCTGGGCAGCTAGTAAGTTCTTTGTGCACCAGCATAAGATGGGCTGTAGTCAAAGGCAACACTGGGATACACACTGTTCTGAGTTATGTTATGCAAATATTGCATTTTTATCTTGAGAATCAGCAAAGGACTAGCAACTGACAAGCAGACCGAAACTCCCTTCCCAGACTGCTTCTGAGGAAGCATTAAACAAAATGACACAGCACGAAGAGGGACAATGCCAGCACACCACAAGGGCACTGACCCCACCAAGGCTGTTCTTTCTCCCCACAATACAGGCTGTGCATCACAGCTCCCTAAGGGAGGGAGACCTGAGTGGCCCGTCCCACCAAATCCCCTTTCTCTTGTCTGGTTTCCAGATTCATTTCCCCACTTTAATGTTGTTAATGCTCAGGAAAAGGAGAGCTGTGCTATATAGGAGAGTGCTGTCTTCAACGTTGGTGTCAGCGCTTGGGGATGTGTTCAAATTAGTATAGAGCTGAGAGATGGGAGTCGGGAGACTCCAAGAAGGAGAGGGGTTCCAGCGGCACATAGGAAGCCAGCAAACATGCAAGGGAAAAGGGCTTCACTTTTTACTCTGAAATGTTTTCTAGTGACTGTTATTGATATTTTCCAAAAGAAATGATCAGGAAGGAGTTTCTTGCAATAGTCTCTGCTTTCATTATCCCCATAGCAAATTCTTGCAGGTAGATAAATCACGGTTGCATAAAATGACAAGGTTGAAAAGAAAAAAGATTGTTGAAGTCCAGGCACAGCACTTCCTTTTCCTGTGATGGCACTAGTAGTTTACAGGGAAGATGCTAATACAGTCTAAGCAATGTGTAAACTTCGAAATGCACCCCCAAAGTAAGAGCCTGATGGAGAGTTGACTTTCACTCCAGGGTCATTCCCTGGAAGTAGCTGCAGTGCCTGAGAGGTGTGAGCTAGAAGCTGGAGGGAGTCACAGTTTTCCTAGACTACAGGGAGAAACCAGCAGAGTAAGGATGGAGGCGTCCCACTCAGGGCAGGCTGTGACCCAGGTGTGACCACTCCAGGCAGGTGGCTTGTTCTGCCAATCTCATCAGCATCTCCAGATCAGGTTTCAGGTTGCTTCCTTCCCTCTGCTCCAGTGAGAAAGCTGGCATGACCACACCCATAGGTGCCATCTTGGTCACCTTGTCCACTGGGCTCTCTCAGGAGTTCGTGGTTGTCCTAGGAAGAGTAATAGTCCCTTTCTAAAGTCGCATCAAAATGACAAAACATCACAATGCATTTGGCTCTAGTGGAGTCAAACAGAGGGAACTTTAAAGTTTCCACTGTAATTAACCCTATCCTCGTTAAGATAATTATGATCAAGCTTCCTGTCACAGTTAATATCCTACCATCATTGCCTGTGGCTCACACACTGCCCTCATTAGCCTATAGAAACAGTGATGCTAAAGAGGCAGCTCTGTGCTGCCTGGGCTAGACCAGCTGCTGCAGGCTGACATGGGGCTGTGGGTATGGCAGCACCTTCCTGGTCTCTTCAGTTACTGGGCAGATGCAAACTCAGTCTCCTCATCCTTTCCATTGAAACTGGCCCCTGCCCTTTTGCCAGCAGATACTCAACAGAACAAAAGTCACCAGAGATCATTTCCCTTCCATAAGCTCCTGGTGTCTTCTAGTCAGTTTTCAGGCTCTGCTAGGGGTTAAGTCTCTCTTCCCTAAGCTGCCAGTCTACAGGAGTAACACTTGTGACTGGCACAGAAAGGCTTGTGCATAGTGAGGACAGCTGGCCACAGACCTATGCAAGGACTGCCATTTCCTTCATCCTGTACCAGAATTCTCAAATACAAGCAGGGAAGCAACACCTCTACTCACAACTTCACCTGTCCCTGCAATGCATTTGTCCAAACATCCAAACCTACACTGACAGAGCCGAGTGGAAAGGCCATGGGCATGCCAAAGGCCTAGCACAAACACCCAAAACCTACCACATGCCCAAAACCTACTACCCAGACCAACTGCCTTATCTTAAGGGCTAGACTATATCTTCCTAGATCTCAGTCTGCCCAGTCCCCAGATAAATAAGAATGATTTCCACTCACCTGGGTAGCTATCAAGTTCATAGAGTAGTGGGAGCCAACTCCCTAGTCTATGAGGCCGCTCAGCCTAGAGTTGAGAGTCTAGTAGAGAAACCCAGAGAAGCCCTAGGACCAGGCAGGGGGGCTAGCCCAGCTAGCTGACAGTGGGCAAGAGAGGGAGGACAATTTTCAGTGTGAATCTCTATCTTTAGCAGTGAGGACAGATATTTGGGGACAGAAAGAGTAAAGAGCTGTGTTACTGCATCAAGCCTGAGGTAGAAAAAACAAAAACAAAAAAAAAAACCTTCAATACTTCCTTACCATCTGGTAAACAGACTCACCTCTGAGGCCCTCCCTATTATCTGGCCATTCTCAGACCTGTCCCTCCACTGACCTTAATAATCTTTATAATTTAGCAACTAGGTCATTGATATCCAGCAACCACAGCATGGGACCAACATAGGGTTACCACAGGCCAGTGCCTGCTCTAATTGGTCAGCGTAATAGTTAAAAAAATGGTTTAAAAGGTTTAAGTGGTATATCTGTATATCTGAGTACAGAAATAAACAGAAATAAAAATTTGGCCTTGGTTGTGGTGTGTGTGTGTGTGTGTGTGTGTGTGTGTGTGTGTGTGTGTGTGTGTTTTGTGCACACCTGGCATGCAGTGGCTATTAGAGAAGCCTGAAAATGAACTTCCCACAGAGACCATGGCCAAAGCTACAAAGACAGGACAGACAGTCCAGAGATCACCCATGGGGAGTGAGGAGAAAGAGGGGATTAGGAAGTGCTGATGTGACTGGTCAAGTTCCAGAACCAGCATGTCACCTAGGTCAGAGAGGGGTATTCTATCTGCCATATGACTCTCATCATATTCTATTTAAATTGTTGCATGGATGTATGGATTGACAGATAGGTAATAAATGAGAGAGATGATTGACAATGATAGGTAGATAGATAATAGACTACTATATTTAATAAAGTATATATCATCATTTATTATCCTATATGTTTTGCTCTATGATTTTCTGGTTGTGTGTGTGTGTGTGTCATTCATATCACAAAGCTACACACGCACACACACACACACTGTAATAATATAAATCAATTAATATATAATATGTCTGTAAGAATAAGGAGGTAGCAGAGGCCCTGTGTGTGGTAGTGTAAGGGTGTAAGGCATATTAACAGCAAGTGGAAGTACAGGACACGGGATTCAAGTTAAGT